TGGGCGAGCCGTGGCTGCGGCTAGAGCTCTGCCAGGGCTGGGAAGAGGCCCCATCCCTGGGGGCTGTGCGCTGAGATCCCTGCAGAGCCCTTCACCTGTCTTGCTTCTCCTCGAGGTGCTGGGCCAGAGCCGGAGGAGCAGCCTGTCGGGGTGCCAGCAGTGCCTCTCTGTCCCCAGCAGCGTCCTCCTCTCTCTTTTTGTGTGCCCCATCCTAACAGCTGGGTAAGTGCAGCGTGCCACGGCTGGGGGCACTGCCCACATGCCGGAGAGAGTGAGGCTGGGGACCACTGCAGTGGAGTGTCTCAAGGGATATGTCTGAGACCAGGGCGGGCAGGACAGCCAGGGCCGCTGGCAGGGGCTGGGCAATAGCTGCCTGTCTGCCCGCAGGAGTCGGTGTGCCCCTGATGCTCACCTACGTCTACGGGGTGGTGGTGCTGTCGCTATGTCGGAGCCGCTGGGGGTGCGGGGGTGGCCGCAGCCAGCCTGGGGATCTCGGCGTGGTGGAGCTGGAGAACCTGACCAAGCGTGAGTCCTGCACTGCTGTCTGTCCTCTGGCCTGTGCCCTCCATTTGGCCACGTGGGCCCTGATCCTGCCTCATGTCTCTGTGGCTGTGACATCTCCAGAGCCAGGGACTCCCCATGGACCTCTGTTGGTTCTAGCCCGGGCGGTACCACACACACCTCTGTCCTTGTGGGGAGGCAGGTGCTGCCCAAAGCAGTCTGGGACCAGCTTGTTTGCACCCCCTGCCAAGAGTCTGGGGGGCTGTTCTGCTCCCTGCTCTGATGGGGAGCAGTCCTTGTGAACAGGGTGTTCAGTGCCATTTCTCCTTCCACCAGTGAATGAGCTGTGGTCAGTGCTGCCGAGCCCCAGGGGGGGTGAGGACGGAGTCCCAGACACAACCACCTCCTTCCCCAGCAGCAGCCGTAGCCCGCGCCATGGAGCAGTATGGAAGGAGCAGGACAGCCAGTCAGCCAGCACGGTGGCCCTGGCGGGGGGCAGGACACATCCTACAGGTGGGCCAGGGCTACTGTGCTGGGGAGGCAGGGGTACTGGCACGGCCCCTTCCTAACAGCCTTCTCCATGCCCACTGCACCAGGCAGGGACATGGCAGCATCCTCCTTTGGGCTACTGCCCTCAGGCCCTGTGTTTGTCTGCAGGGAAGGCATCAACATCGAGGTGGAGGTGTCGATCGAAGCAGTGCCGCATCCTGCCCGGGAGCAGAGCCTGTGCAGCGCGCTGTCAGGGCAGAGTCTCTCTGGAGACTCCCTGGGAGGCACCAGTGACAGGTGCAGCATCGTGGGCGTCCCTGCAGAGTGAGGGGGACTCTGCAGCACTGAGCGGGGAGACCCTTGATCCACAGAGCCCCCCACCTGCCACTGCCACTAAGATCCACATACCCTTTTGTGGCAGAGCTGTTCCCCCTCTGCAGGGCACTGCCAGCCCTGTGAACTGGGTCCTGGCCATCCCCAGGCTGCGCAGGTACTGACTGCGGTCAGTGCTGCCTGCGCCCAGCCCCATCCACCCCTTCCCTGAAGGCAGTCTTGAGCATTGGCACCGCTGGGAAATAAAACTACTCTCAGAGGGTCTGTCTGTCTCCTGCAGCACAGCTGCCCCCTGACAGCACAGCCCCCATCACTGCAGGCTCTCATCAGTGGTGTA